ACATTAGGATTACATCTTACTTTTTAGTGCAAACTATGAAAGCCAGAAGAGCCTGGACCAAAGTATTTCCAGTTTCAAATGACCACAGATGCCAACCCAGATTACTATACCCAGCCAAAATGTCTATTATACTCAAAGGGGAGAGAAAAATCTTCCATGATGTAAATAGGCTGAAGGAATTCATGTCCACAAAACCAGCCCTTCAGAGAGCTCTGGAGGCAATACAAAGAGCTGATAAAGGAATGACTATACCCAAGGGGTTGCATAAAGAAATTCAATGAAGGTATAACTGTGGAAAAGTAAAGCTATATCAAGAATGTAAACAGAAATAAAAATGACAGGATTCAATACTCATATTTCATTAATAACTTTAATTTTAATGGACTGAACTCCCCAGTCAAAAGGCACAGACTAGGTGAATGGACTAAGAAACAAAACCCAACTTTTTATTGTCTGCAAGACACTCATCTCACTTTCAAGGAAAGACACTATCTTAGAGTGAAAGGATGGAAAAAAATATACCAAGCAAACTTCATAAAAAAATACTACAGGACTTTAAGACTCAGATTAATTCCAACTCAATAACAGTAGGGGACTTCAATACCCCACTGTCTCCTTTAGATAAGTCAACAGGGCAGAGAGTTATCAGAGAGACATCTGAATTAAACCATGCCATACATATCAAATGGACCTAACAAACATGTTTCGAATATTTCACCCAAGCACCAAAGAATACACTTTCTACAGAACACCCCATGGAACTTTTTTTCTCCAAAATCGACCATATACTGGGGCACAAACAAACCTCAACAAATAAAAAACATTGAAATAACTCCATGCATTCTATCAGAAGACAATTCAATAAATCCAGAAGAAACCCTCGTAACTACATGAAGACATGGAGATTAACACACCTGGATGAACGGGTCAAAAGAGAAATTAAGAAAGAAATGAAAGTATTCCTGGAACTAAATTAAAAGGACAATCCAACACAACAAAAACCCTGGGACACACTGAAAGCTGTCCATAGAGGGGAGTTTATAGCTCTAAGTGCCTACATCAAAAAATCAGAAAGAACATAAATAAATGACTTAACATTGCAACTCAAGACACTTGAAAAGCAACAACAAACAAAACCCAAACCCAGGAGACAAGAAGAAATAACAAAAATCAGGGCAGAAATTATTGAAATCAAAACAAAGAAAACAATACAAAGAATCCACAAATCCAAGAGCCAGTCCTTTGAAAAGATAAACAAGACTGACAGGCTGCTAGCCCAGTTAACCAAAAGAAGGAAAGAGCACCTACAAATCAATGAACTCAGAGATGAAAGTGGAAACACCACAACAGACACCAGAAAGATACAGAACATTATAAGGGAATACTTTAAAAACATATATGCTACTAAATTTGAAAACCTAAAAGAAATGGACAGATATCTAAAGGCATGGGAACCACCAAAACTAAACCAAGAAAAGATTAACAGCTTAAACAGACCCATAACATACAAGGAAATTGAAACAGTAATACAAAACCTCCCAACTAATAAAAGCCCAGGCCCAGATGGATTTACAGCAGAATTCTACGAGACTTTAAAGATCTGCATCCAATACTACTTAATTTATTCAAGAATATAGAAATAGAGGGAGAACTTC